CAAAATAAAAATACATTTACATGTATTTACCCTTATACATTACCTTGTACTAATAAGGTTATATTGTCTTGTTCTGGTGACTGTATTATATTGGTGATGTTATTGATTCCAATACAAGTATATATTGACTCATCAGTCTTTAATCCATTGCTAAACACTAGTACTGACTGTAGTGTAGTTGGAGGCAGTAAGGTCTCCATTATATCAATGAGACCAGTTACTGGTTGTACTATCAATCCACTGGACACGTTTATCCAATTGATGGATGGAGTTGGTATTCCGTAAGCTTGACATGTGAAGTTTGCTGGTTGTGTTTGGTTTATGATGATCTCTCTTGGCTCAAGAGTAGTTACATTAGGAGGATCTGAGAGAGAGAGGAGAGAATGAAGAATGAGATATTAGAGATATGAGGGAGTAGATATAAATGAAATGTAGTTGTACATTAGAGAGAAAGAGAGGGAAGGAAGATAAAGGAATGTGTTTAGATGGATAGCAGCAGGTACTATCACAAGGACATTGCTAAATAAACGAAACTACTAATTAAAATACTAATTCTTCAGACATATCCCATTGCACATTAGAATAAAACTAATTAATAATAATTAGTAGTGATTATAGGGCACATGTTCATTAGTTAGTAACACAAAATGTAGAATTAATTAATACAATACAATAACACTACAGGGGTATGATGCTACATGTACACGTAACTTGAAAAATTGAAGTCGGAATCGACTCAAACTTTCTACATAGCTTAAGTACATCAATGTGTATCAGAAAATGTAATAAAAATTGGGGGTGATTTCAGAGCCAATTTTCAGAAAAAACCATGGGCTATAATATAGTACAGGGTATTTTTCAGAATTTTAGCGTTTTCTTAAATTGGCCGTAACTTGAAAAATTGAAGTCGGAATCGACTCAAACTTTCTACACAGCATAAGTACATCAATATGTATTAGAAAATGTAATAAAAATTGGGGGTGATTTTGGAGCCATTTTTTGGAAAAACCATGGGCTATAGTACAGGGTATTTTTCAGAATTTTGGCGTTTTTTTTAAATGGCTGTAACTTGAAAAATTGAAGTCGGAATCAGCTCAAACTTTCTACGTAGCTTAAGTACATCAATATGTATCAGAAAATGTAATAAAAATTGGGGGTAATTTTGGAGCCATTTTTCAGAAAAAACCATGGGCTATAGTACAGGGTACTTTTCCAAAAATTTGGAGTTTAAAAAAATGGCCATAACTTGAAAAATTGAAGTTGGAATCGGCTCAAACTTTCTACATAGCTTAAGTACATCAATATGTATGAGAAATTGTAATAAAAATTGGAGGTAATTTTGGAGCCATTTTTTGGGAAAAACCATGGGCTATAGTACAGTGTACTTTTCTGAAATTTGAAGTTTTAAAATACGGTCATAACTCAAAAAATTAAAGTCGGAATCAGCTCAAACTTTCTACATACATGTACAAAGTTGAGTAATGCAATATACAAAACTTAAACTTACGGAACACAGAGAAATTAAAAGACTCGGAAAGAGCCTCAACCCTTTCCGCCAAGTCATTGACAGCGTGACACTGATAACCTCCATTGTCATCGAGGGTCAAACTACTGAGTGTTAGCACACTAACAGAAGTATCCGTCTCTGGCATAGAAAAACTAACACTAGCTCCTGGATCAGTGGCAGGATTAATAATACTACCATTGATAATCCAAGTGACTGTAGGAGTGGGGAACGCCCTGACAGTGCAAGTAAATGAAGCTGTGTCACCATAAATTCCAGACAGTGGGAAGGAGGAAATGTTTACATTAGGAGGCACTATACGTGTGTGTGGATAGAGAGAGAGAAGGGACAATTAAATAAATCAATTAGTAGGTATAATAAAAATGACAACAAACACATGTGAGTGAAATGGCATTATGAAAATAATAATAATAATAATAATAATAATAATAATAATAATAATAATAATGACATAATTTAATTGGATGTGCTAATTGAAGCCCAGACACGTTCGTAACAATATCCGTTTTCCAGGCGCAATAAGTAACAATAAGTAATGGGCTATATGTGTACAGCAATGCAATCATGTCACAGAATAGATGTACATAGAAGTGCTTTAATAGTAACAGGTATGTAAGACAAAGTAAAATGCAGTTAACATAATGAACAAGGATTTAATCGCAGCTCCTAAACTTGAAAATCTTTACAGCAAAAACAGACCATGCGTGTGCATGCATATACCAATGACACTATGGCTTCAGTTTATGTATATATGCACATATGCTATAAATGACATATCACTCATTACCAGTATCATTAAACTCACATTGGACTCTCAGAGAAGCATAGGCCGACTGTGTCATGTGGATATTGGATACAACGCATGTGTATTGTCCAGCATCAGCTAATGAGGCATTCCTGATAGTTAATGAGCCGTATGTTGGAGAGGAGGGGTCTTCAAAGATATATTTATTATTAGAAATGAGGAAGCTGTTCATGTGTGTATATAGGTACAAGGAAAAGGGATAGTTGTAGTAATTGAGAAGCATTATATTGTACCCTTACTCCCTCTCTCTTTCCTCTCTCTCCTCCTTTCTCTCCTCTTACAAATCTCTTGTAGTAGCGTTGTATCTAACAATCTCTGTACTTGAATTAAAGAACCAGACAACGGAGTGAAGTGGTTCTGAGGCAGAAGTACAATTCAGCAGAACATCTTGACCAGTGAGGACCTGCTGACTAGCAGGAGCATCAATGATCACTGGGCCAGCTGGATAATAAAGAGAGAGAGAGGGAGAGAGGAGAGAGAGAGAGAGAGAGAGAGAGAGAGAGAGAGAGAGAGAGAGAGAGAGAGAGAGAGAGAGAGAGAGAGAGAGAGAGAGAGGGAGAGGGAGAGAGAGAGAGAGAGAGAGAGAGAGAGAGAGAGAGAGAGAGAAAGAGAGAGAGAGAATTGTTTTGGAAAGAGAACATAAATAAACAAAGACAAGGACATAAAGAAAAGGAGAAACAGAAACAGAAAAGGAGACAGATGGAGAAAGCATAAAAGGTAAACAGAAAATGCCATTCCTTACCTTCCACCTCAAGACTAACAGTAGACTCAGCTGAACCAGCAGGGTTCCTCGCTATTAAAGTATAGTTACCTTCATTACTATGAGACACTCCGATGATACTCAGGGTCAACAAGTCCCCAGAGAAAGTAAAACCATCAATGTTTGAACCAGTGATATCGGTAGAGCCCTCAAGATTAGTGAATATCCATTGTAGGCCATTAGTGGTGACTCGTGGATCATCATTAGTAATGTTAAATGATAACGTGACACTCTCACCAACGACACCTAAAACTGTACGACGACCATTGACTGAAACAGACGGTGGGACTAGAAAAAGAATAATGTTATTGTTAGAGAGAAGAAACACAATGCTATAGGAAAAAGAATGTGGCCATTGACATGTATTGAATGAGGAAAACAAGCATAGCTGGTTAATATATAAATAGTAGAGTTCAATTAGCTAACAATTATAATGTTATAATGTAATTGATTTACTAGGAAACTTATTTATCATCCCAAAAAAGGTAATGTGAAAGAAACAACTAGTACATGTTAGAGCTAGTATGCAAATTACATTTCATACAGGAGGGGTAGGTAATAATATCTTTTCACTATTCAAGCATGGCATCAAGAGTTTGAACACTCTGTGTGTTATAAGTACAACAAGCACAGACAGAAATGCTCATAAAGTTACATTTACCTTGAATAATGAGCGATACGGAAAGACTGCTAATTGCTCCAATGTCATTCACAACTCCATTATCACCGTTACAAGTGTAAGTTATATCCTCTTCAGCTTTCATTACGCTGAACAACGTTAGGAGGGAGAGAGTCACCGCTCGTCCTTGGGAATCCAAACCAGTACTAACTGTAATCTCAACCTCATCGCTGACATTAGTTAATATTGAAAATCCTAGTGGGCCCCCACCAGAACCGAGCATTGTTTCATTGCTTAACCAGGTGAGAGATGGTAGAGGGACTCCGAATCCTTGGCAGGTGAGAATGACATCATCTGTTTCATTTATAATGACCTGGCCACTAGGAGACACTGTGATATTAGCTGGATCTAGAATAGAAAAATAAGAAATACACTATATATAGCTCATGAATCCTTTTATAAAAGCAAAAAATAATAATATTACATTCATTCATGTACTGTCAATGGTTTCATGAAAGTTACCGATGCCAAAATATTTTAATTTAGCTATGGCATGTATTAATCTCTCAAGCATTATGTTACTATGCATATTATACAAATGCCATGTGCCACTACTGTTGCTACATATGATAGTTTGTATAGTATCAAGTAGCGGAGTAAAAACAAGTAGTGTTGAGAGTAAGTGGTGTGAATATCAATTGTATTGCACAATATGCACACTCAAGCATCTTACTATGAGGGAGAGAGAGCGGGGGGAGAAGAGAAAGGAGAAGAAAAGTATAAGAGAAAGATAAAGAAGGAGAGAGAGAGAGAGAGAGAAAGGTGCTTGACTTACGTAATATTGTAACAGTAGCAGTGTTAGACAAAACATGCCCAAATCTGTTGCTGGCGTTACAGACATATTCACCGCTATCAGTCAAGCTAGCATTAAAACTTAGAATGCTCTGCAACACGTCATCATCTTCTGTCTCAACCGCCACAACAGTCATGGAGGATGAGACTATGCTGCCATCTTTGAGCCACTCAATTGTGTCAGTGTAATTTGCAAAACAAAAGAGCTCGATCGATTCTTCCACTACAACAGCTTGTGATGTAGGACCTTGTACTATGACTGGGTCTGCAATGTACAAGATGAGGAAGGAGTAAGATGTATTTTTAAACAGCACTGAAATGTTCATGTAGCACACAAAATATTATATTTTTGTAGCTTAAAATGCCATGCCGACTTACCAAAGTCTTCACGCAGACCTCCACCGCTTCCAGAGGCTGACCCACTGCCATTCTCACCTAGCAACTGGGCATTAGAGCTCCCTGGTAAACTGTAAAGACTAATAGAGTAGATTAATGATAAAAGAAGAAAGAGAAAAGGAGATCTTCTTGCGGGATCCATTGCTTGGCCAATATGGATGACCCGCCTGTCTTGAAGCAGGAAGTGAACTGCTGGAATTTATTTTAATACTGAATTTAATATTGAGCCCAAAAAGTTTGCATTAAAGTATAATAGTAAAGAATTATTATTATTAATATCTAAAATTAACTTTAATCTACTCTTCTTTTTAAAAAGTAAAGTTACAAAGTCATATCAGGATTCAATTGAATCGCATCATAGAAAGTTGTTCGAACATTTCTTTTCTTGCAAAACTTTTGTATTAGCCTCACGCAAACGTAAACTGACATATATACCAGTGGTAGTAATATCAGTGTTGTGTTTAATGAGATAAAGCCTTTGCCTAGTTGATGAGATTCTGATTGAACTAGCATTGTTACTTTGATTAGTATCATCACACTGAACATGAATACATCAAGAGTATTGTTCCACTCCTTCTTATAAGGCTGGACAGTGACTATTAGACACACGACTATTATCATTGTCATCACTTGTAGCATACCCTCAACTACACTGTCCATTGCTGACATCAGAACTGCAAGCACGACAATCCTCAAAAAGAAGTAGACAGAAGAGAAGCTCCTGGCATCTCTTGTACCTTCAGTTCCGATCCTGTAGCAGCCTTGGAACGAATCCATGAAAGCTCTCAATGCACGATGGTTTAAATGTGTACGATGAAGACATCTCTGTACTACCTGTAGAGGATACAGTAGCAGTATCAATGGTAATGGTATCACAATGAGAGAGAGGACGATTATTGATATCATCATTAACCAGATGTGCTTAGAGCTACCATACTCCACTGAAGCATCCATGTAAAGTAGTTTCATACCCTTCACTTCACCGTTTGCACTGTACACTGTATTAGGTAACAATACTAGGAATGAGACCGAGCAGAGTTTAGTGTAAGAGAGGACTAGAAATGTAGCAAATGCATCAATGAACGAGGTCTGTATCTTCCAGTTCCTCACTGAGTCTACC